TTTTTTCCATCAAAGTACGGATGTCTCAGGTAATGTTTTAATTGCCATTAATTATCTCCCGTGACCCAACTATCTGCATCTATTGTTTCAAAGTTATTAAATTATTAATAAATTTGTCATATGTTTCTGCAAGACTTCATGCTTGTTCACCTGTTTGATTTTAGTTTTACTTGATTTTTTATCTTTGGTTTATTAATTTCCAATTTTTTTATAACCAAATACATACATTATAGAGGTACTAGGCGCATGACGTGTGGTATGGCCGTTGAGAAAACCAAAAGAAGTCAACACGTTGCCAAGTAGGCAGTGGACAGTCTTCTTTCAATGCCTCTTACCAATCCATGTCAGTCAAAGAGTACCTTCACGTTTCCACATGTCCCTACTGAACTTCAACCTCCCTTCTCGTGAAATATACATATATATACTTTAAGTATAATAAAAGAATAAATATTAAAATAGATTTGATGGATTAATTTTAAAGATTTAAAAATAGGTTAGAATGAATTAAAAAATTTACTATCTAAATTAAATTTATTTTATTTTTATATAATCTATTGAAATTATAATTTATATGGATTTAGATTAAGGTAATTTATAGATTTATTAGATAATTTCTTTTGTAATTATTTTTAAAATAAAAATAATATAAATTTATTAGTATATATTATAAATTATTTGATAAAAAATTTATTTATTTTAAAAATAAATATTAGAATATATCTCTAATATTTATTTATTTCAAAATTTAATGATTAAAATAAATTATTATATTAGATTAATAAATTAGTTAATAATGATTTATGATAATAAAAAATAAATTTTTAATTTTCTTGAATAAATATTCTCTCTATTAATTTATATATTAAATTATTTAATTTTAAAAATTAATTATATTAATATAATTTATATTTTAAAAAGCATTTTTAATTTTTAATTTTATTTAAATAATTTTTAAATTAATTATTTAATATAGATATATTAATATTTTTTATAATTTTTAATTAATTTAAAATTAGTTCATTAGTTAATTAATTTAATATAAATCAAATTAGATTAGACTAAAAAATCACCATTTGTACTAAATTATTAATATTTTTTACTTAGACAGACTATGATAAAGTTTTAATGACGCTAATTATAAGTTATGCTATCTGTACATATTTTTTTTTCGAGACATTTATAATAATTTACAATACCCCTTATTAGATTCGGTGTTTTATGTATAATACGAAACAAGTAAATGCCATAAAATTTTCCTGGAAAACAAAAATTCTAGTAATGTATTTTATATTGAAAAAAAAAAAAAAGGTTAGTGTAGACGCTAGACAAACACAAATTCTTCTAATATAATAAATTAGCATATTCTCTTGAGATTACGTTACTTTTAATAAATATTTAAATTTTGTTATTGATTTAGTGTTAATTTTCATAATTATATAAATTATTTAGTCAATATTTTTTTATTCTTCTTTAAATAATTTTTTTACCTTTTTTCTTTTTCATCTTTCCTTTTTTTCACTTTTCACTTTATCTTTTCTTTATCCCCAACTTTCTATTAAATAATTCATTTAAAGGCTTAAATTTTAATTAAAAGATGCTAATCCAATTTTCACGAAACCTTTTTTTGTTTTTTCCTTCGTCGCAGTTCCATTAATTTCTATATCTTCTTAATACATAATAAACAGAAACAGTGGTACATGATGAGATCCAGCCTATCTTGTTTTTTCCTTCGTCACAGTTCCATTATATGACACGAAAAACATTATTTCGACGACAAAATACTGAAAAAGTTTCATCATTGACGACAACTTCATCTGATCACTTTGGAGTTTCACACATAAATTGGATTCCGGACGTATTCGTCCACTTTATTCTTTGTTTTTACTTCTAAATAAAATGCGATCTTATAAATATATCAGAATAATAATAATAATAATAATATATAATGTTATTTATTATTTATTATTTAAATTATATAATTAATTTTTATAATAATTAAGAGAATTTTCGATAGAAATTATTTGACGAGATACTTAAATCATTTGTTGTTTCAAGCAATTTTTTATTAAAGTAATCTTACTTATGCAAGTTTTTAATTTTTTTAACACTTGTTTAAACAAATTAAAAATAATTAACTATAGATTCAGATTTTCATTGCTTTAAAAAGTTAGAAATAGAAGTGGATTTTGTATTCAAATTTAAACTCTAAAATATTATTTTTTTAAAGTATTTTAATTTCTTTTTTACATTATTTATAAATTTTTTTTATATTTCATATCTTTTACTTGTCTTTTATCTATTTTTTTATTCTTTTGTCTTTTTTAATATTTAAAATCGATCAATTTAATGCATTATTATCTTTCTCACATTTTGTTTTTTCACATTTTTTTAGTTTTTTCAACCAATTTAATAAACACAAAATTAATTTTTATTATTCTTTATTTTTTTCTAAATATATCAATATTAGTAGTAACTAGTATTATTTTATTTTTAATTAATATTTATTAGGTTATATTATGTCATATTTCTATATTTTATTATTTTTATTTATCATATACCAAATTTTATCTTAATAAAATATTTATATTTTGAATAATTAGAAAGAATTGATACTTAAATTTTTTTTATTTTTAATTAATTAAATAAAAATAATTATCATATATTTTTTAATAAACTATATATTTCATATTTATTAATATTTTAAAATAACAACTTAAATAATAATTAACTTATACTTTATAATAATATATTATTATTATTATTATAAATATTCAATATTTATATGACAAAAAAATATTAAATATTATATATATATATATATATATTAATATAAATGTAATAAATTAAAATACATACTTAATTAATAATAATATTCAAAAGTTATAAATATTTATTTATGTATAAAAAAATACATAAAAATATTAAAGTTAATTTATTATAAATATAATTATATATTTTAAATAATATAGGATGAACAAAACTCAAAACCCAGTAGAACAAACATGCATGAAATAATTGGAATGGGGTTCATGGAGGGCCCACCTCATTTCATTGTCATGGTTAAGTGTAACTACATGTAAAAACAAAAAGTTATCATATTAAAAACAATTATAAATAAATTTCTTGATAATTAAAGCAAACATCATATTTATAGTTATGTTGGTCAAAAATTATTTTTGACAAATATTTTTTAAATTCTAATATTTATGTTAAAAATAGAAAGTTATTAATTAAAAACTGTCATTTTTTTAGTTTAAAATTATTATAAAATTCATTTTTATTTTATTTTCTATTATTATATTTTCACAATTAAATACTATCACAAAATATGTCACATTATATCATTATTTAATATTTATTAGAGGTTTAAGAATCTGAAAAAAGATATATTTTTAATTAATTATTAAATAATTTAAAATTCTAACAATTAATTATTAAGTACTTTTCAATAATTTTATAATAATAATAATTAAATTATCTATTTTATTTAAATTATTTTAAAAAATATAATAATAATTTTATCATTATAAAAACTTTGATGTCTAAACGTGTAATATAACATTAACTTAAAATGCCAATTTATTTATTGAAAGTTATTTAATTATATGTATTATGTATTTTTCATGCGTCTTAGGAAATATACATGTTCAAGATTATCCTCTCTTAATATTTTACTAAATTAATTGTATTCCAATATTTTGTAAGATTAATACTTTAACTCAATTTTTATATATATATTTTTCCTATAAATAAATAAATAAAAAAATTCAATTGATCTGCTTAAAAATAATAACAAAATTATCACATGAATGAAATTATGTTGGTCACAACTAACTACTAAAAGTTTATCCTACATGTTTTGACCATTACAATTTTTTGTGCCAAATTCATCACTAGTGGAACCTAACATTTTTACCATTTTCTTTGCACTTTCTAATAATTTGTTCTTAGTTATAGTTGAGTCCTAGCCTTCAAATTCCATAATTTTTATAGTTCTAATTTCCATCGTGTTCTAGCCTTCAAATTCCATAATTTTTATAGTTCTAATTTCCATCGTATTCCTAGAACATGTAATAAAAATGAGTCATCGAAAATAAGGATTTCTCCATTGTTATGCCCAGTGAAATAAAGAATTAATCAAGGTGAGTGAAATAGAGAATTGTTATGCCCAGTGTATGCTTATTATACTTATCTTATTATGATAGTAATATTTAATATTTTTTTATTTATAAAAAAAATATTGTTACTAATGATCTTATTATATACTTATTATATTATAATTATTTTATTTTATTAAATCCAATTTAAATCTTATTACACATTTAAACTTGAACTTTGAGTTTAGGGACGATCGAATTTTGTCAAATGCTCAATAATGAAATCAAAAGAACCCAATTATTAACTAAAGGGAGACAACACTCAACCCTTCATCAATCATCAATGTATTAAAAGCCATACCTAATCGTCACATCTAGAAAATTAGTAAGAGAATGAAACCACCAGGAACATCAAACAAGATCATCCAAACAACAAATAGCAAAATAAGGAAGAAAAGGAAATAATTTGTTTTCAACTCGCTCCAAGGTTTTTCCTATCTCTCAAGGTTCAAACCTTAAAATGAAGTTCAAAATATCTATACTTGGGATCTAATAGCCTTAAACCAATACAACGCATAAATTAAAAATAAAACACAAGGGCTTGTTTTCCACAACGACTTGAACGTTACACCAAAAAAATGGTTAAATTAACTGGATTACCTTTTAACAGAACAGAAGGTTACTGCAAATAATAATACAGAATTAATATTTAAAATTCAAATCTTTCAAGGAGACATTATTACTTGGTCTATTTATGCCATACGTACTAATCCCTTGATGTGGAGAGTTGGCGAAGGTACATTATAGTATACTCTATATTTGAAACATGACAAAGAAATCACAAATAGATAATTGAATTTATAACATGAAGTCACAACTTCTATTCATGTGCTAGGATATTAATCATTCCTTCAAGTTAAGCATTTGGTTTAGTGCATTAAGATAAGCCTCTACACTGGAAACAACAACATCCACTCCTTCTCCAATCCCACTATGAAAAGAGAAAACAGAAAATTAGTTGTGCATATGCAAGATTAGTAAGAAAATGATACAATAAAATTAAAAAAAAATAATAATAAAAAAACTTTTTTGGATTAACAATACCTAAATGTTGGATAAACAATGTTTCCATTTAAAGTAGAAGTAGGTGACTGCTTGTTCTCTCTACGAATTACAACATGTGTAGTTGCAATTGCATCAGTGCCTTCTGTAACTGTATTCAGTGAGTACTCAAGTACTTTCACAGCTTCCTGCATCAAATAGAGGAAGATTCATCCATCAACTAATACTATTAGTAATATTTGCATAACTTGGTTAGATATTAACAGTCCCCACATGAGTTTCCTTCTCTAAAAACATGTGAATGACAGAGATATTTAGAAGAATCCAATACAATATACATTTCCTCCATCTAGAGCATATCCTCTGAGAAACAATATAACCAATGAAAAGCGCTATGATTGCCAATTAAAAAAACTTCCAAAGAAGATGATATAACCAAAGAACTACAAAGTTTAGATAAATTTTTATCGTCTCAATTTTATGTTCATACAAAAATATATTCACAGTATGTTACACCTAATAATAATAATATATATATAGCTTATATATTTTCCAAAAAAACCCTAATATTTGGGAAAAGAGAAATTTCATAAAAAAAAATGAACTTTTTTTAAAGGTGAGTCGTTCTGTACCAATAGATTTCTAAAGAGCACCAGAATAGCAACTAGAGTAAAAGATAAATGTTTATATCTAATATGAGATGTAAAAAAAAAGGAAAGAAAAATAGAAACAAGGAATTTATTAAAACTTCAAACCTTCACAATGAGATCGACAGCCTTGTAAGCCGAATCCACTGGTCCTTTTCCAACAGAACAAGCAACGTGTGTGCTACCGTCAATTGTAACAAGTTTGATAGTTGTTGATGAAAAATTCACTGTTCCACAAGTCACCTACGTTGAAAAGATATTCATTACCTTTTTTTTGTGTGTGTAATGTAATCTTTCTTTCGTATTGTTAACCAAACATATAGTTTTAAATTAATGTAATTAATTCCAATTTACCTCCAAACCACCAAGCTTCCAAATATGTTCTACATGAGAAACTTTATCAGATGATACCAATGCTTTAAGGTCAGCATCAGTAACTCTCTAAGGAATAAAAAGAAATTTGAGTCAGACAATAAGCCATTAGCTTCAAGAATGACCAAAATGGATTCAAAGTTAAAAGACATTATAAGAATACGTTATTATCCTGTACTTTTCAGTTTCTCTAATTCTGCTCTTTCCTACGATTTGGGAACTCCAGATATAGTTGTTGACAAAGTACAACAAACTATATGTTGTATTCACAATTGAAAAAGGAAATAACTAGATATTAACCTTTTTTTTCTCAGCCATTGCTTTGAAGTTTTGAAATACACTCTCAACTTCATCCTCCTTCAGTTCATAGCCAAGCTGAGAGGGTAGAAAATAATTCATCAAACGGTAAAACAGTCCTTGTGCCATTCAGTATAACAAAAATATATTTGCATACCTCTTTAAGTCGATTTTTCAAAGCTTGGCGTCCACTATCGATGCGGAAGTGTAAACGAAGGAAAAATGAGTTATGATTTTATTATAAGAAGTCTAAGATAAAAATTAGTGAAACAACCGTTACTAAATTACAATTAAAAAATAATAAACCATGAATCGGTGATATCACATTGAAACAACTTTTTATAAGCAAAAGAAATTCGTTGAATAAAAAAAGGAAACTCGTAGTACATGAGAATGTTTGAAAAGTTAACTTATTAATCATATTATAGACTCATAATACTATAGCACTTGTTTTCACTTTAGTTTTCCACGATTAACTATGAAATTATACATGAAAGATTTTGAATTCTTTTGAAACTATAAAAATCACGAAATATAGTACCTGAGTAAATATATGGAAAATAAAATAAAGCTTCATTCTACTATATATCTACACTATAAATGGTGGTATAAAGGCCAGAAAATGGGAGAAAACGGCATACCTTAGCTTCCCGAGTACCATATTAGCTCCACTTGACCTTTCATAACCAATATCTTCAGGAGAAAGTATTTCATATGTACTTCTATGCTTTAACAATCCAGCCTACAAAGAAGAGATAAAAAAGAAGAAGAAAAACAACAAGGAACAAAATCCAAGTATTACTTCTACGTAAAGTTCATAACTAAAACATTGAAGGTACGAGACTCAATCACAAAGATAAAAAGTTTTTTATTTTTAATTTCATCTCGTTGTAGCTTTTATTTGAATGAACTTTATTAAAGTGTCACTAGTACAAAAAACACTTTTAACATCGAACTTTTTACATCGGTTGTTAAAGAACCGATGTAGAAAGTGTGGTCACTAGAGATGAGTTGCAGGCCATCAGGGATCAAATTAGGGAAGAGCTTCGGGCGGAGCTAAGGCAGGAACTTGTCTCCTTAGGCTTATCTCAGGGGAACACAGGAGGGGGTCAACAATGTGTTCCCGTAGCTTCTCGCCCTGAGGAACGTGTTAGCACCAAAGGGAGTTGTGCACAGGTTGACGTTCTTGATGATGAGTCAACTCCACTTGGTGAAGACACTCCTAGGCCTCTATGCAAGTTCTTCACAAAGGAAGGCTTACTAGTGGCATATGGTACTGTGCATACATTGGGGCCACTTATACACGGGGTAGAAATGACGGATTCCTTTCTTCGTGCTCGCGGTTGAACGGGTGGAAGTTTCGAAGCTCCTGTTCCTGTTCTATCCGACGAGGTTAGAACAGTGGGGAGGCTCCCGGTCATTTCATTCGAGTGACCTAGAGCACTTATCCAGTTTCCTACCGATCGGATATTATATGTTTTCTTTAATAATTTGATACATGTTTATAATTTTATTATTTTATCATAAATTTTAATTTAATTCCTTGATGTGTATAGGACATTTGTGCCCAGCAGAAAGGAAAGGAGAAGGGGAAGGAGAAAGAGAAAGAGAAAGAGAAAGTTCAAGAGGAACTGGACATAGATCCGATACAAAGGTTATGCCTCTTAGCTTATAGGCTAGGAAAGCATATACCTTTACAGATCCAGATGGACCCTCATGTGATTGGGAATCCGCAGCCCATCACGTTGTACTTGAGTCAAGACATGATTTGCGTCACAATTCTCCAAGTCTGGTTAATGTAAGTCTTATGTTTTTATTTAAGTCAATTGGTTGTATGCCCTATTAGACACCAACTTGTCTAAAATGCAATTAACATGATATTTTCAATTTCTAGTTACCTCAACAAAGCTGTTACGGAAAAGGGAGTAGAAGATGTCTATGGATTCATTGATCCTGTCCACATTCGGAGTTTGGGGAACAAACCAAATACTATTCAAGCATACATTCAAAAGAGATTTTGTGAAGGATCAAAGGAAGTTTATCTCGCACCATATCATTATGGGTAAGTTTTTTTAAATTACTTACTTTCAAACTTTGAATCTCTTAAGAATTGCTAATTGAGCGACATTTTTTGTAGGTCTCACTGGCAACTGTTTATCCTTTGTCCTAAACGTAATGAGACTATTTTTTTATGCTCTTTATGGAATAAACCCAAAAAAGAAATTAAACAGATTATTGATGTGTAAGTATACTAACACCCTTATATATGAATTTGTCTTTGTGACTAATTAAATACTCTAGGTGCTGGTTCATGACAGATTAAATATGAAGTATTTTCCATTTAATCTTTTATAGGTGTATAGAAGCATACTCGATCATGGAGGGTAAGCCTAAAAAGAAACCCACATGGATACTTCCACGTGTAAGGACATTATCTTTCAAATTCTTAACTTTAATTTACTCATTTTCACGTATTTAATGTTTTTTTTTTCTTATAGTGTAATAAGCAAAAAGGAAGTTGGGAGTGCGGATATTATGTGATGAGACATATGTTAACAATCATCACGAGCAAATATCACAGATTCATGGAATTTGGTATGTGTTATGACTATATCTATGTCATTGACATATATTTGCCTACTTCGCTTATCTCGAAATGTTTTTTTTTTGTAGATATTCGATGATGGTCATCCAATAAGTGAAGCAGAGATTGATGACATTAGACGAATTTGGGCAGATTTTGTTATTAAGAACTATAGTCGTGATTGAATTTAATTGTGAAACATTAGGATCTGCTAGTTTCTTTGTATATATAAACTTAGAATACAATACATGTTTATTGTTTTTGTTGATACAATACAATGTAGATATATAATATACATTATGTTTACTTGTGTGTTAATGCATGTCCTCTATATATAGATTAACATTCGAGTAGTCTGTAAATATTTAAAATGCTTGTACGAGTTCGAAAAATCAAAAACTAAAATTCGTATTTAAAAAAAATGACTTTCCACATCGGTTATGGCCATAACCGATGTAGAAAGTGATTTTTAATACTTTCCACATCAGTTCTAGGCCATAACCGATGTAGAAAGTCTGATTTTCCACATCGGTTATAGCTATAACCGATGTGGAAAGTCGACTTTCTACATCGGTTATGGCCTAGAACCGATGTGGAAAGTCGAACTTTCTACATCGGTTATGGCCTAGAACCGATGTGGAAAGTCAGACTTTCTACATTGGTTCTTAACCGATGTTAAAACTCACCAACTTTCTACATCGGTTGTATCTACATCGGTTGTAGAACCGATGTAAAAAGTTGCTAAGAACCGATGTTAAAGGTGTTTTCTGTACTAGTGTGTTCTTTTTTTTCAATCAAATGTGTCTTTTTTTCCGTTGGAATGTCAATTATATATATAGAAATCATAATATTGTATGTTCAAATATAACAAATACAAAATGATACCAATAAAATCATTAATTAGGTTATAAATCATAACACTGTATCTCCTGATGAATCATACACAACAGCGTGGCTTTTAACTCCACTAACCTGATGAATGCCACTTTCATGGAGAAAGGCATTAGCACCTACGAGAGCTTTGTGTGGTTGTAAATGCATGCCAGAGAACTCTTCAACCTGTTTTATAAAAAATATAAACTTTTTAAATGAACAAAAAATAAATTAAAGAAGGAAAAATATTCCAAAACTGAATTAATAGTTTTAAAATACAAAACCATCTTGCTGGTCTTCAATATGTGCTTTGTATTAATTCCAGTATATAGACCATCAAAAATATGATCTCCCCTGCATCTTAGGGCCATCACAACCTTGAATAAAGAAAATATAAAATGAGTTAAAGTATATTAAGGAAGATGAAATTAAGTGACTTACTACTATTATAATATAAAGAATACAAGAGTAATAATTTTAATATGAAGCAAGTAGTAGGTGTGTGTGTGTATATATCCTACAATAAACAAAATCATATATTTCTATAAGAGATTCTAAATAATAAAAATGATAAAAACATCACATATATTAATGATTTTAAATTAGAAATACATAAAATATAATGACTACATGTTGCTAGAAATGAGTATTAAAATATGTTTTCTTGTGATCTCAATCTAAGAACCAGAAGAGACTATTATTTTAAAAAAGATGAAACCTTGATGGTAAAACATTGGTAAGGAAGTATGCAATTAACTTCTAAAACTATGTCATCAAATAATTTGTCCACAAAATTATCCCTAACTAAGTGTAAGTTAATCTCCAAGTAAAATATTTTGTAATTTCTAAATACTCATGATAGAATTGAGGATAATGATGATATATAACATTTCTCATAAAATACTATTTCTATGATAATATTATAATTATATATATATATATATATATATATATATATATATATATAAAGTATATTTTTTACCTTATTTTAGAAGATAAAAATTCGTATCAAGTAGATATCTGTGATTGAATCAATTACCCACTGATGATTTAATAAATCAAAAAGGTATTTCGTTTGGTTATTGTTTGCGCATGTGTTTCTAGTTTTCTGTGATAAAATTTATGCAGAATTTGCTGAAGGACATTTTTGACTGGATCGAATTGTTGACAAATGATAGAGCACGAAGGGTATTTTTAATATTAACTCATCAATTTATCGAGTGGCTGAGGTTACTAGGTGGGAAAGGTTTGTAATTTACATTATTTTATCCTTCTAAATTTAATTATTATTCTTAAAATTTTATAAATTATATTAATATTTATGATTTTATTTTTTAAAATTTAATAATTATTAAATATATTTATTTATTCATAAATCTAATTCTAATCTTTTATATTTTTTATATTTATTTATTATTCATTATTGGATCAGTATTTAAGATGTGTCTCTAAAAGATTTTCTTTTACAAAATTTGGAGAATTTAGAAAATGCAAAATTTATTTGAAATTCATACTATTCTTTCTGACATTAAATAAGAGATTACAATTTTTTTTTCTTTTTAAAATTTTAATGTCCTAAAAATAAATAATAATTTTGATATATTTTTCGACTTTATATGATTCTAAGTTGCATGTAAGATTATGGAGGTATATAGACTTTTTTAAGAGTAAGAGCGGAATAGTTAAATAATATATAAAAAGTAGTCTCATTAATTTAAGATTTTATGCTTTTAATTAAAAACTGAAATTATATATATATATATAATTTACTCGCAATTTTATTTATGAATATTTTTTTATTAGTAATCTCACTTGTAAATATCTTTTTTTTAAATTTTATTGACTTTTCATGATAAAAAGATTATTCCATGAAATATTTGTGTTAATTAAAAAAAAAGTATCTATTTTTTTCGTCTATATTATTACAGTTTTTCATATATTTGTAGAAAAAAAATTATATTTTTGCAAATTTAATATCTAATTTTAAAAATGTGATTTATTTTGTGAGATTTTGTTCTTACTTTTACAAGTTATGTCTTTGCTATTGACATCCGTGATTTTCGTTTTTGTTTAATCTCTGTGCATTTCGTCAGTTTTGACCTAATTTTATATTGTGATTTGTTTTTAAATTTTCGTTTCTATATATAGTATGCTATGCACATCAGCTTTGAATAATAAAAGAAAAATGGCAGTAAAATGTTTACAAAATAGAAGATGATACTAACCTCTTCTAATGCACAATTACCAGCCCTTTCACCAATTCCATTAATTGTTACTTCTAATTGCCTTGCACCAGCACGAGCACCCTGAAAGTAATTAGAACTTGATGAAATTAATTATCATAATCTGGTGATATAGTTATAGTATATGTGTGTGTGTATATATACATACCTCTATTGTATTTGCAGTAGCATGTCCAAGATCATTGTGACAGTGAACAGCAATAACAGCATTTTGAATTCCAGGGGTATTGGCTTTTATATCAGCAACCAATTTTCCCAACTCGAATGGCATTGTTATGCCGACAGTGTCACCTATGGCCACTGTTGTTGCTCCAGCTTTTATAGCTTCTCCAAATATTTCATAGAGAAACTCTCTATCTGATCTGCTCCCAAAAATATTTAATAATGCAAAATTAAAAACTATAAATTCACTATATCAACGTCAGCCATCAACAAAATTGTATACATCTCTAAATATTCATTAGATACGGCAAACTCCACAACCTGATTTTTTGTTTGAAGTTGTTTTTGACATATTTGTAAATTTTTGTCATTGAAATTGTTTTTGTGAATTTTAATCTTGCAAAACTATTATTTTTGCCGAAGTTCTGTTAGAAGAGTAATCAACTATTCTAAAAAACTAATTTTATATAGTTTTTAGATTTCTATATTTATAATACGTTTCAAAGTTCTTTGTGTAAAATTTATTGAATTTTATATAATCTTGAAAGAACAAACAATATTTTCGTGCTTAAGATTCAAAAAAATATCATGCATTAGGTTAAAACGCAAAAGTATTACTTCTATATTAATCTAATATATATATATATATTATTTTTTTATTTATTATTTTTTATTATTATAACAATTAATATAGATATATAATATAAAAATATGAAATATTGATATAAATATTTTTATTTATTATAAATTAGTTAGTTATTTTAATAATTAGTTAGTTATTTTAATATTTTATATTTTATATTTTTAGGATAAAATGTGAAAAAATATTAATTTAAGTTTTAAAAATATTTAAAAATAAAATTTTAAATTATTTTAAAAAATAGATAAAATAAATATTATTTTTTAAATTTAAATTTAATTAATAATATTAATAATGTAATATTTTGTATATGATAGTTCCACGTCTAATATTCCTGGTTCCTCAGAAGAATATTAGAAATGGTAATAGTGATGATAAGAAGAAGCAGAGTAATAATAAATGGTAACCTGGTTGCATCTTCAGCACCGAACTGGATGTCACGACACCCCAAACTGCGTGCAAAGTTGACCATTTCACGAGCAATACGAAGGACCTCGTCTTTGGTCTTTCTGAGCTTGTACTCCATGTGAATGGGGCTGGTTGCGATGAAGGTGAAAAGCCTCGGCCTCTTGGCGTGCCTCACAGCCTCCCAAGCACATCTGATGTCATTTTCATTGCACCTGGAGAATGCGGAAATCACAGGAACATACCCATCATCATCGCCATCGCAGTTACGACCAACTTCTTGCGCTATCATCTTCACTGCATTGAAGTCCTCCTGCGACGCTGAGGGGAACCCCGCCTCGATGATGTCCACTCCCAGCTTCGCCAGCTGCCGCGCGATGCGCAGCTTCTGGTCGGCAGTCATGGCGGCGCCGGGGGCCTGCTCGCCATCGCGGAGGGTGGTGTCCGCGATGCGGATGTACGACGGGTCCTCAATGTGACCCGGGAAATACTCAGGGCGGGAGCGAGAGTGAGTGCCGTTCATGGGTGCAGGTGTGATTCAGAGGGAAGGAACTTCGGACGGAGGAAGAACTGATCTGCGTTCTTATTTATAACCAAAAAGTTCAAACTTAGGCGAATTCATTTGACTTTAACTACTACAGCACAATAAAAAGATATTAGAATAAAATTTCATATATTTAGGTGAAAAAAAGTTTTTTCTTTCGAAAGTTGTGAAAGGATGCAAACTACAATAACATATTGCACCCGTGAAATGCACGCCCATTTTATATTGGATTAGGCTACGATGCAGGACTATTAATTAACTTACATGTTCTGTAGACTAAAATGGTTATAATAATGAATTAAAAAATAATGTTGACCTGATGATTTAGATCTTAGTGTCATTTCAAGTAAATTTTCTATCATCTTAAATTAAATGTAACTTTTTCTATTTGTAAAAGGAATAAATAAAAAATTACGGATTACTTTCTATGTCTGATCATTGTAGTTTTAGTCCTCAATTGACTGATATATTTTCAGTAAATATTATTTATTCTTAAATTTTTAATTTTTCTCTCATTAAAGAGTTCCGTTATTTCAATGAAAAGATTTTAAAATATAATATATTTATAACTAATATTTTTAGTTGATGTAAATAACTATAAATATTCATGTTTTTTCTATATATATATATATATATATATATATATATATATATATATATATATATATATAATCAAATTTGTTCATCTGAAAGAACATTTTCAACAATTTAATTAAGTGTAGGGTTGTGATAATGTGTAATCAGCCTTGTAAAATACGAAAACTATAAAATATTAAATATTAATTTAAAATCATCACAAAATGTTTAAAATGTTACAAGATCAACAAAATAGTTTAATGGTTAAAATGTTACAAAATCAACAAAATATTTTTTTTAGTCTTAAGAAATTATAGTTGTATATACATACATATTTAGGCAATAAACAAACAGAGGAAGAAGATGACAGAAATAAATGAAATTTATATTTAAGGTTTATTTTTTTTTAATTATATATATATATATAAAATATAAAATATATTATCAAATTAATTTATTATACCTATATTTTCTAATAAAATAATATTTCTTCTATTTTATTTTAAAAATAATTATTATTTTATAAAAATGATCAACTTATAAATTTATGAACTAACATGATCTAAGTTCATTTAGGTCATAACCTAAATAGATCAAAATTAACCTGATTTTATTTAGGTCATAAATTTTTTTAGTACAAGGTAACGTATTTTTTGGGTTTTTCTAACTAATCTATTTGGATACCTCTAATTAAATATGAAGTTAATAAATTAGAAATGAATGGTGATTTAGTTAAATATTGAATTAAATATTTATCATGCTTACATAAAAATAATAACAAATACTAGGACTTAACTATATATAAACTAGTTAGCTAAAAAATTATTTATTTGGATATAAATTTTCCAAAAATTTCAGGATATTTCTTTTCTTTAAATTATAACCATTAAAAAAATTATATATAATAAAGTCATAATAATGTTTTCCTAGTTGATACATTTTTTGTACATGTTTATTCTGTGCGTCATATTTTATATCCATGTCTTTTATCTTAGTAAATTTAGACATGCATTAAGGTGTTAAGAAAGTTGAAGAACAAAAATTTTCTTACCTTTCTTATTTGGAATAGGTTGATGCACTTCTCAAGATTTTATTTTATATTTTTTTTATTATTTTCACTTTTATTCAATGATATTACCGGGGATTATTAGGCATATTTTCCACGGATACAATCTCGACAAATATATTTGTTGATAATATAAATTTACCATATTTTTATCAATTATTATCCATCTATAATTAAATATTTTTTTACAGTATTTGTATGTTATTTGTTTTAATATTTTTCCTAATTTATCGTTAACTTTTATTTTTTTATCTTTATTTTGTAATTTTATCTTTCTAACAATCCAACTTATCTTTTATAAAAAAAAAACTTTTATTTTATTATTTAGATCCAATTGAATAATTTAATTAAGTTTAACAAATATTTATATTATATTTTTTTTAGTATTTTAAAATATAGGACATTGGAACTCTCGGCTTCCTTATAAAATTTGCCATCGAATTAACCTGTATTGAATAACTCCCTATAAACTTATATAATCTTGATGTCCAGTATTGTCAAAAATAACATTTTTTTCCTTAACAACCTTAAATAAGAGAATTTTTGCTGCCCCTGCTAGTTTAATCATTCAATCACAAGTTCTTCTTCACTTGAAAATTATCCAACTCAATAAACCTAGAAATTTATGGTGTTTATTCTGATGGAGATATACATGCATTACAAGACAAAAGTAAATAATAAGAATACAAGAAATTTATGTGATTAAGTGAAAATGACCTACATTTACGACTACATTAGATGGTAATTCTCATTTATTTAATTAGGTTTACAATTACATTATTATTTATAATAAAAGAATAGGTAAATAGATAAGGTCAAATAACCCTTCAGACTCCACGTGCGTAACAATTTTTCACTTTGAGGTTAATCATATCAAGTACACTTCAAAGTAAATTTAGTAAACCTCAAAACTATAACACCACTAAACTAGTGTAATGTCTTCTCAATAATTAACTATGAAGGCTAGTTGAAGTTATGCAAAACTTCAACTTCTCAATAATAATCACATTGTCAACATATTTGCAAGATTCCCTTATCTAAGAATCTTCTCTAAAAACAAAGTATGATCACTAATTAGTTCTCTAATGAAGGGACATCTTAACTGGATGTGCTTTATTTTTGCATGAAAAATAGGATTCTTTGTAAGATGAATAACACTCTGACTATCATTATAAAAAATATTGTCACACTCCTTCTTACCTAGCTCCTTAAGAAAATTCTTCAACCAAACAATTTCCTTACTAGCTTATGAAATAGCCATGTACTATGCTTCTAGGATTGAAAGTGCAACGTTTTTCTAAATTCGAAACATCTAACTAATTGTTATTCCACCTACTGTAAAAACAAATATATAGTATTTTTCCTTATGTCTAAACAACCTCCCAAATCTGCATCAAAATATCATTTCAAAAATGACATCATTTCTTCTGAAACATAATACAGTTTTAGAAGTATGTTTTAAGTAACTTAGCTGCTTCCCAATGTTTCATTAAGAATTGAAAAAAATAAATAAAGATAACTTATGTATTTTTATCTTTCTAGATTATTTATATAAAACAGTAAACACAATTGAATCATGGAAGATTTATATAAGACCCATAATAAATCAACTATATTAATTAGAACTTGAATGGAAATTTTGTCAAAAATGGAGTTCTGGGATATTTTTGCTCACCATATTCTTTACTTAGCAAAATTTGACTATTTAAGTTAGTTGGTCACTAGTCGGATCAATAATTTTACTCAACGAAATACTTCTTTGTTGACCGAATTTGTGAAATATGGAATGATCTCTATAATAATAATTTATTGAGTGAATTTATAAAATATGGAATGATCTATATGACAATAATTTATTGAGTGAAATTATTATATGTTGATTGAATTTTTCAATAATTTAACTTTTCTTTTTTAATTTATTATTCCTAGATTAAAGTATAAATAATTAGTTAAAATATATAAATTAAATAAATAATTAAATTAAAAAAATATTTATTTTTAAATATAAATTAAATAATATAGTTATATATAAAATATATTATTAAAAATATTGATAAAATGTATTTATTACGCATAAGTTCACATAGATTTTTTACTCTTATTTTGTGCAAGTGAGCATAAGTTAATCATTTGAGATGCAACATTGCAAGTGACTCTAGTTAGGATGACTTTTGATATTATCTCTATTCTTTTAAGAACATTTAATAGCTTTTATGTATGTTTAAGGAACAATAATGAAAATGTATGTAAAGTTTACTTTTATCTCCATAGTTGTATATATATTCTAAAAAGGATATTTGACTTAATATCATCTTGGAGTTTGTATTGAGATGTCAATCAAAAGAAGATGAGCTTATATATATAGTCATAATATTAGACGATCTAGTCCTTTAAATGTACTAGTAAAGGGTAAAAACATAAGATATTCTATTATTGTTAAATGAGATATTCTTTATTGTTACACCAGTAGGTGACTCGTTGTGTATAAGGTGAAGAAAAATGAGTTTATATGTTATTGTCATGCTCATGTCTTGCTGATTTGGAATCAATTAAAACTATTTCCTACATGAATATCGTAAATACACTTGTTAAATATATAAAACTTAATTATTTTTGTTAAAATAAAAGTATTGGGTGTAGTCTAATTTTATTTGAGTATAGCAACTTAAATTTCATCCAATTTGAATTTTTCTTGAGAAAATTATGCATAGAATTGTCAAAATGGACGATCCAACCCAACCTAATCTTAACTTATGGTGAAGTAAAAAAATTTGATATTGCAGCCTGATTTATATTTTTAAAGAAGTCATATTTCTTAACCTAATTGCCTCTATGTTAAGGCAACAAACTAATTTTGGCATGACTAAATATTAAAAAAAATTATTAACTATCTATATAAAAATAATTAATTAAAAATATATTTAAATAAAAATTAAAAATATATTTTAAAATTTTAAATTATATTAATAAAATTACTTTTTATTTCAAATATAATAATTTAATATATAAATTATAATAAGAGAAGAAATTTGTTTAGTCCTACAATAAAAGTTAAAAAATTATTATCCATAGTCATCATTCAATTTTTTTAGTCATTTAATAATCTAAAATAATAAATCATCTTATATGTTAGATGGTGGAATAAATGGATGTTAGAGACTTCATCTTATATTTATTATTAGAATAAGTGAATCTCTTATCAAATTAATTATAATACATTATTTTTTTAATAAAATTATTTTATTTTATTTTTATTTAAAATAATATTATTCTATAAAATGAGTCAACATATAAGTCTTCGAGCTAGTCTAGTTTAAGTTCATGTAAATCATGATCT